GTGTGTGTGTGTGTGTGTGTGTTCAGTTATCGACGCCCAGTTTAGAAAAGCCCTGACGAACTTCATGGAGCTCATCAATCTTCCCGTCCAGAACGTCCATGAACTTCTTGAGCTCGGTCTTCATGTTCTTCTGCTTGTGCTGACTGTCGTCGATCTCGCTCTGCAGGAGCGTCATCTTCTCGCTCTGGTCTCTGCTGGCCGTTTCTGCAGCCTGTAAAACATCAGCAGCATCAGTAAACCTCGCAAACAACATGCAGAACTGAAGATTCACACTGACACGACGAGCATTTATATCATTCTAACAGCATGACTATTCCTGGCGTGAGGTCAAAGTTCAGCGCGGTAAACAGAGACAGTCGTCTAAAGTTCGGCTGGAATGTGAAGCTGAAGAAAATAACACATCTCTAAATACAGCTCAGCGTTTGTGTTCGCTTCTATTTACACAATTATGATTTTTCCCTCTTAAACTCCAAAAAACAGATTCAACGATTTTTTAAATCTTCATCACGTGTTTCCAGACATCTCAGCTTCAAGATGTTTTAATAAAGCAGATATTGCTATTCTTGGCTTTTTCTAGTAAGTTGCTGCTTCTGAATCCACTCATCAACGATTATGACGCACATCCAGAGCAACAAACACTGACCCCATCTGAAAGATATTTCTGTATGTTTAATCAGTTATTTAGCATTTGCAGAGCTGATCTTTTGATGTTTCTCCAACATTCTGTTTTGGGTTTGTTTTAAATGTTTAACACTAGATATTCTGTGCATACAGCTGAACATACAGACTGTAAATTGATTTATACTGACAGAACATACAGCACTTGCATAGTGAAATAGTGATTACAAACATTAGGTTTACATGAGCAGACACAGCCTTCATCTGCACGTGTGTATGTGACAAAGAATAATCCAGTATTTTCAAACGCAGATGCGGATTAACGTGTGCAGACCCCAAACTACAATCACATCACCTGGATCTGTTAGTAAAACAAAAACCAGACTGATTTCAGCTGGACTAAAGCGTTTACATGACATCTGAAAAAGGTATTTTACTGCTTTAGTCTGATTGAAACTCAACTTCAGCAAACACCAAACAACTTCATTCAGACTCAAAGACGAGCAGAAGTGAGGATTCTCAGCGGAGGAACGAGCTGTGTATGATCCGCGACTGAGGTCTGTTTGAAGAATGCGTGTTTGTTGTTGTTCACCTGTAGTTTGGCCGTGACACTTTCACATTTGGCC